ATTATAATTCTATGTTTAATGATTTTTAGGAACCACCACACTGCTTTCTGTAGTGGCTGTGCCATTCATTCCCCCAGTAGTGCATCTATCCTCCATATTCTCACCAACACTTGCCATTTTCTGTTTTTCCGATAGTAGCCATCCTAATGGGTGTGAGGTTTTAGGCATATTTGTTAAAAGGAAAAGACACATCTCACCTCTGATGGCTGCTTTGTCTCATTCGCGGAGCCTCAGGGCTTTCAGAGCAGAAAGGGAAAGCATCCCACGCCTGTGTGCAGCACTTAGTGGGTCTGCAGGAGTCCTCCTCACCCAGTTCTTTGCAGCTTGCTGTCACAGCCTGGAGGGCAGGATAGGTCACACCTAAGTGTGACATGCAGCAGAAGGTGGCTCACACTTGTAATCCCAGCACTTTGGGAGGCCGAGGCGGGTGGATCATGAGGTCAAGAGATCGAGACCATCCTGGTCAACATGGTGAAACCCCGTCTCTACTAAAAATACAAAAATTAGCTGGGCATGGTGGCGCACGCCTGTAGTCCCAGCTACTTGGGAGGTTGAGGCAGGAGAATTGCTTGAACCCAGGAGGCGGAGGTTGCGGTGAGCCGAGATCGCACCATTGCACTCCAGCCTGGGTAACAAGAGTGAAACTCCGTCTCAAAAAAAAAAAAAAAAAGAAATGGCTTGTATCTTCAAGAGTCAGAGCCCTAAGCTCAGAGGACTGGGAATCTCTCCCACAGTCCAGAAGGCAGGACATCCAGAAACCAGGACATCCAGAAGGCAGCTTCGTGGAGGGGTGAGATCAAGCTGGGCAGTGAAGGCAGAGAGGACTTTTCAGGTAGGAAATGGTCTTAGAGGAGAAGGCTGCACCTGAGCAAGGCCTGGAGGTGGAGAGAAGGAAAAGGGTTTTTCCTTCTAAGTTACACAAGCAGGTTTGAAGGATTCCAGCGGGCTCCAGACTTACCCCTGTTCTCCCTACCCCAACAGCCTAGTTGAGCCTTCTTCTCGGTCAGGGAAGCCAGTGTCTTCTGGCTCCTTCTCCAGCCCTCCAGATTGCTCCCTCTTTTTTGAAAAGCTTTCCTTGCCTCCTTGACACCTGGCTCTTTCGATTTTTCTCCTCTCCTTAGGCTGTTTCTCCTTGTCTCTTCTGATTCTTCTTTCAGCTCCTGAAGAGTTTCTAAGGGAGAGGCCTTGGCAGCTTTCTGCATGTGATGTCCTTGTGCAAACCTGCTATCAAGATCCCAGGGAAGGGCCTGTCAGTGGTTGAAGGGATGACTAGCCCTGTGAATGCACACTTAATTTTTGGTGTCTTCTGGATGTCCCCAGGCAAGAATCTCTGCCTTCTCACCTCCTTTACCCTAGATAATGCAGCCACTGCCCCTTTCTGGCTGAGCTTAATTGATTCAAGCTCTCAAAGGCATCTGATTAAGGGGACAGTACCTGATGGCATCAAGCAAAGGTGTCAGGGGTCTTGTGATGGATTCAGACATGAGTTCGCACCCACACAAAAAGAGGAAAGCCAGATTTGGGAAGAGGCAGTTAATAGTCACTGTGAAAGGCAGTGTGGGAGATGCACCTCATTGCTACGGGAACTCAGAGGAGGAAGACATCAATCCAGCTTCAAGGCAAGACTTCAAGTAGACTTGACAATCTAGCTGGGGAGATGAGCTGTGTGAACCCACACATGGAAACTAACCAAAGGCAATACGTTCTCAGAGGCATCAGAGTTACAAATATGTTCTCTGAGTATTGGAAGAAGAAGGCATTTTTATCCGATTTGGGAATGAAGGTGGCACCACAGTTTCCTGGATGGAGCAGAATTTGATCCATGCCTTGGCAGGATGGAAGCAGAAATGAGGTGGAAATAGAATCACTAGGGAAGAGAGTAAGTGGAATCCCAGGGGCAGAAACATGTGCAGTATGTCCAGGTAACAGTAGCTGATCCAGGGTGGTTGGAACCTTTTGGTGATGGGGAGCCATAGAAAGTTCTTGAGGAGTGGAGTATGGGTTTGGAGGTGCGCAGTGATTGGCAAGTTGCTTCTCATGGCAGTGGTGGGACTGCCATTAGCTGAAATATTAGGTTTGGGAAAGGTAAAATCCAATCTTCATGGATTCATTAGCAATGATTTCTGGGCTAGTGAAGCAGGAGGAAGTCTAACCTTTTGGAAAGCACTTGCTTGAGGCACTGATGCTCAGCTCCTGCGTAGCTGATCCTCAGTCTTTCCAAAGATGCTATTTTAACCTAGTTTCCTGGAACTCGTACAACTGAATACAGTATTTGATGTTTACAAATTGAATTGGAAAATCTCAAACAAGGCAGAAAAAGCTATTATTTCAAGCTTTCTTTTGGCTCTGTTTTAGCTTATGTGTCTAGTGACTGGAGAGGCTGGAAAAAGACCGTGGTGGAGGAGCTGGGTGGCTGGGGCAGGAAGACAAAGGATTCCATTCTGGATGTGTTGAGGCTGAGGTTCATGGTAGCTTGCAAGTGGAGATATCCAGCAGACCGTCGTGCTTATAAATCTGAAGCTTCAGATAGTGGTTTGGGAGTATATTAGCAAGCATTCTTCTACTTATAAGAATCATAATCCTAACTTTAACTGTCTCAAGTCAAAAAGGCAATTTATCAGCTCATATAAGTGGAAAGTCCAGGCGTTGGCTGGCTCTGACATTAGGCATGGCTGGACCTAGGGGTTCAGTGATGTTCAATGATGTCAGTTAATAGTCGCTCTGTCCCCCTGTTTGTCTCTCCACATCTCAATTCTACTGGGCCATATTTGGCTTCATTCTGCATGTAGGTTCTCACCACCAGATAAGCTCAGTATCTCCAGAGGAAAGAGGCTAATTTCTGCCAGCAGCTAAGTCCTGGGAGAACTCTAATTGGTCTGGATTAAGAACGAAATAAGACTACCTCAGTCCTGATGTTAGAGGATGGCGGTCATTGTGATTGGCAGTTTCCCTGTGACCTTGTGGAATGCAGAATGAGCAATTCCCCAAAGCAGAAGTGAGGTGTCATTCCTAGGTATGTATGCTGGGTCAAGAAATAGTACAGCATCCATGGGCTGTATCAGGGTGTCTTCACTACACAAGTGAGGATTCTGCAGCTCAAGGAGATGAGATCATCTAGGGAGGCTGTATATAGACATGAAAGAGGAGGGCTAGGGCTTAATCTGCTGGAATTCAGGGAGGAGACTGGCCAGAAAGAGGCTTCCAGGAGCTGGGAGAGTCAGGAAGGGTCCAGGGCAATCCAAGCCTCAGGAGGAGATAATGAGGAAGTGATCCTCTGCAGAGTTCCAGTGATGTGGCAATGGAAAAGTAATTGCACAGTCGAGTCACTGGAGAGCTCAGAAAAAGCTGGGGACAAGGGGATGATGGGATGGAAGCCAGCTTGGAGGGGCTATGAAAGGAACAGGGAGTGCTGGAGCCAGGGAGGCTGCTGAGTTTTTGGTTTTGTTTTTGATTTAATGAGGAGACGCCTGATGTGTTAATGCTCAAGGAAGAGGATGAAGTTTGGGGAGAAGGAGGGAATTCAGGAGTAGCTGTAGGAGTTAAGGACAGAGGCAGCAGGATTACCTTTGTCTCCAAAAGACCCTGCTGTATCCAGGTGCATGACATGCAGAGTTGAGTCCATCTTGTTCAGTTAATATTATATGCATTTCCCATTTGCAATGTAGTATTCATACTTATCTTTTAAAGTTAGTTTTTAAATCATAAAAGCAACACATGCATATGGTAAAACAAAATGCAAACAGTTCAGAAGGAATAAAAGATGAAAATGAAAGTCTTCTCCATCCTCCCTCAGCCCGCATTCCTGTAGGAAAACTGCTTTTCATCAGTTTCTTGGGAATTCTTCCCAAAATTTTTAATGCATATACAAATATATATGTGCATATATTTTAAAATAGACAAGTGGGATCCTACTGTGCCTACTGTTCTGCACCTTGCTTTTTTCACTCAATGCTGTATCTTGGAGATACTTTCTTATTAGCATATAGAGAGACCTCACTCCCTTTCAAGAGCGTGATGCTGTTCTATTGTGGGGATGGAGCAGGGCTTGTTGAACAATTTTCTACTATGTGGACTTTCTGTTGTTTCTAATCTGTTGCTATGAAAAAGACTACTTCAATATACCTTTTCTTTTGGACGGAGTTTCGCTCTTGTTGCCCAGGCTGGAGTGCAATGGCGAGATCTCAGCTCACCGCAACCTCCACCTCCTAGGTTCTAGTGATTCTTTTGCCTCAGCCTCCTGAATAGCTGGTATTACAGGCATGTGCCGCCATGCCCAGCTAATTTTTGTGTTTTTAGTAGAGACGGGGCTTCTCCATGTTGGTCAGGCTGATCTTGAACTCCTGACCTCAGATGATCTACCTGCCTTGGCCTCCCAAAGCACTGGGATTACAGGCATGAGTCACTGCACCTGGTCTAATATTACCTGTTAATATACTTATTTTTGTGCACAGATGGAGCTATTTTTGTATGTAAAATTCTTAGGAATGGAATTATTGGAGTTAAAGAGTATATACATTTAGAAGTATAGGTAATGCCAAATTGCTCTTTAAAGAAGTCACATAAACGTGAATATTTCAGAGCTTAAATAGGAGATACACAGGTGTTCATTATATTACTGCCCATTTTTTTTGTATGCTTGGATAGTTTACCCACATATGTACAAGAAGTCACAATATTTACACTCCCATGAACAGTAAATAAACATGCTCTCATTTTCCCAACAGGCCACTAAAGAGATTTTAAATCTTTGTCCATCTGAAGGGTGGAAAATGGTATATCCCTATCGCTTTAATTGCATTTATTTAATCATGAGGGTGGCTGATCATTTTTTCAGTTAATTGCTTTGCATTTCTATTAAGTCGTACTTTAATGCCTACAGACGGTTTCATTTTATACATGTGCCTTAATTTACTTAACGCTCTTCTTGTGGGTTATTTATATGATTTCTGAACAACTGTGAATATCTTTGTACGCGAAGCCTTTTTCTCTTCTCTTTTTAGACTTTTGTCTTCAATCTGCCATTCCAGAAGATGAATTGCTGGGTCAACAGTGTGGACATTTTTATGACTCAATACATATTGTCAAATTGCTTTCTCAAAGGACAGTACAATATACAGTACCCCCAATTTTATTATTCTCTTATCAGCGTTAGGTATTGTAAATACAAATTAATTTGTTTCTAATTTTATAGGTAAAAATGAGGACTTAATTTCATTTGTATTTTTCTTACCAGTGAGGTTGAATATTTTAATATGTTTGTTTATTAATTGCATTTCACCTCTCTGAACTGTCTTCCTTTCTGCTTATTTACTGATAGCACATGCCTATACAAAGGAAATAAGATGATATCTTATCAGGGAAACCTTTTTCCTCAGGCCCTGTGACCTTCTGGGAAATTATTGACTGATATCAGATTATCAAAGTCAATCTTTTACATGAGAACACTGGGGAGGGAGTGATTGAAAAGACTTAGGTGATACGGGGTGAAGACGGAAGAACTGAATGAATAAGACTCTAGGTAATGATGTGGGTTGCAGAGATGAGGGAGGTGGAAAGAATTTATGAGTCGGGATGGAAATTTCATGGGCAGCATAGAGAACATGCAGGGCTCAGAGTTCTCCATCTCTCAGCTTCCAAATGGAGCTCTGGGTGACCCAGACAGCAATGATTAGGTTTCAGAATGCTGACCTAGACATTGTCATCTCTGCCACGTGCTACAGACTTGAAAACAGATTGGACCGAGGAAGGATTTTGCTTAAGCCTTAGATGAGCAGTTACTAAGCCCCATACCCTTTTTTTATCCAGATAGCCTTTAGTTTCACCATTGTTAACAATCTATGTTAATTAATTTGATATCTAGATTTATTGGTATTATACTTTATATTTCTTTTATTACTAATTTTCATAGATTTCTTTGATCACTTTTCACGTGTATGTATGTATACATATATGAAGTTAAAGAGTATATACATTTAGAAGTGTGATAAGGAATTCCAAATTGCTCTTCAAAAAAGGCATGTAAACGTGAATACTTCGGAGCTTAAGTAGGAGATACGTAGGTGTTCATTATATTACTACCCTCAGTCCAATTTGTTTTCAAGTCTGCAGTACCTGTGACATTAGTGTATTTTATGTGCGGCTCCAGACAATTAGTCTTCATCTAATGTAGCCCAGGGAGGCCAAAGATTGGTCACCCCAACATAGAGCTTAAGTGTAAGTATATACATGTGTAGTATCCACCCATACTATTTTATTACTGTTTTTCATACGTGTGTGTCTGTGTGTGTGTGTGTGTGTGTGTGTGTGTGTGTCTTCACCTCTTTTGGGTGGAATTGACTGTTCATGTTCATTTTTCTTTCTTTTGGATGTTATTTTATTGACTTCTTTTTTTTCCCTCAAGATCTGATGATTATATATATATATTTATTTTGAGACAGAGTTTTGCTCTTGTTGCCCAGGCTGGAGTGCAATGGCATGATCTCACTCACTGCAACCTCCGCCTCCTGGGTTCAAGTGATTCTTCTGCCTCAGCCTCCTGAGTAGCTGGGATTACAGATATGTGCTACGACACCCAGCTAATGTTTTGTGTTTTTAGCAGAGATGGGGTTTCTCCATGTTGGTCAGGCTGGTCTCCAACTTCCGACCTCAGGTGATCTGCCCACCTCAACCTCCCAAAGTGCTGGGATTACAGGCATGAGCCACCACACCCAGCCTATTTTATGGACTTTCAAGTAAACTCTATATATTAAAGTTATAAGACTGTCATATTTTTCACAAACATTATTTTTAATTTGCTTGCCTTTAATTTTGTTTGTTTCACTTTTTTTTCTTTTGAGATGGAGTCTTGCTCTGTTGCCCAGGCTGGAGTGCAGTGGTGTGATCTCGGCTCACTGCAACCTCTGCCTCCTGGGTTCAAGCGATTCTCCTGCCTCAGCCCCACCCCACCCTACCACGCCTGGCTAATTTTTGTATTTTTAGTAGAGACAGGGTTTTACCATGTTGGCCAGGCTGGTCTTGAACTCCTGACCTCAAGTGATCTTCCCGCCTTGGCCTCCCAAAGTTCTGGGATTACAGATATGAGCCACCATACCTGGTGTCACTTTTTGTTACTGAAATGCTCAATTGAGCTTGTCTAACCTGTGGCCCACAGGCTGCATGCAGCTCAGGATGGCTTTGAATGCTGCCCAACACAAATTTGTAAACTTTCTTAAAACATTATGAGATTTTTTTGTGATTTTTTTTTTTCACTCATTAGCTATTTTTAGTGTTAGTGATGGCAGCTGTGGCCCAGCTGCTGCCATGACGCTGGCTGCAGATGGGGAGGCGCAGCCAGGGCTGCTGGCTTCACAGAGCCAGTGAGAGCTGGGAACAGGCAGAAGCCCTGCTCCCTTCCAAGTTGGAGGGGTGGGAGCCCTGCCCTCCCGGGACAACTGTAGCCACCCAGCCACAGCTGCACATCCAGGCATCTCTGCACTCTAGGGGCCCAGGAAACCCCGCTGCCCCTAAAGGCTCTGAATTCACTGCTGTCTGGCCTCTCCCCACTCCCAGCACCCACTCCAATTTTAGAGCAAGGTTGTGGCTGAGCCCAGGTGCTGTCATGACCCAGCTGGGTAGGTGCATGCTCAGGGCAGTGCTAAAACGCCAGACCCCTACTGCTTCAGCCCGCTCCAGACTTTGAATACCAATGAGCAGGGGAGGGAGACCAAGGTGGGTATAAGAGCAGGTAGGGCAGGTCTGCAGGCACTGCTTGGCATGAACAGTCTGGGCGCTGTGGGCACTGTGGATGGCAAGTAAATGGTGGCAGGAGACAGACAGGCTCCTGGGCAGAAAGGGGCAGGTCCCAGATGAAACCCCACCTTTAGGCCAGAGACAGCTTGAGGGCTGGGGGCCAGGCAGACAGTTCTGCTAACCAGATTGAGAACTTATAGTGCTTTTCTGGGCCTGCTCATGGCCACTCATGGACCAATCAGCGCATACTTCCTCCCCTCTGAGGCATATAAAAACCCTGGACTCAGTCAGACTTACACAGATGACCTGTCTGTGGAGAAGAGCTACCCACCGTGGGTCTCCTCTCTGCTAACAGCTGGACACTTGTCAGGATGACCTGCCTGTGAAGAGGAGCTACCTATTTCGAGTCTCCTCGAGCTGTTCTATCACTCAATAAAGCACTTCTTAACCTTGCTACCCTCCACTTGTCTGCATACCTCATTCTTCCTGGATGCAGGACAAGAACTCGGGACCTGCTGAATGGCAGGGCTAAAAGAGCTGTTACACAAACAGGACTGAAACATGTCCCTTGCTTGCCACATTGCAGAAGATGAGAAGGAGAGAAGAGAGAAGGAGCCCTTTGGGGAGCCCAGACCTAGGTGCTCCCTGAGCCAGGGCTGTGACACCCTTTTTGGGGGTCTGCAGTTCTTGGAGTCTCCAAGCTTCTGGGCACCACTTCATTCCCCAGTGTTGGCCATGGAAATCACTTGCAGTATGCCTGGTCCAGCTGCAACCTTGCAGGGAACCAGCACCCATGCCAGTGCCTGGAGCTGCCTGCCCTGCCACCGCTGTGTGTAGCAGCCAGGCCCCATGCTCACTCACTCACAAACCCCTTGTCACTCACACCTGGCTCACCCTTGGAAGGCATGGGATCCAGGCTGGTAGTGTGAGCCGAGCAAAGCCTGCCAGGCCAAGTGGGCAGAACGAGCCCAGTGGGCCCAAACAAAACTCAGGCAAAGGCGTCAGTGGCCACAGAGGTTTCTGGCCAGAAAAGTGACACCCCCAGGATCCTGTGACTTAGTGTACTTTATGTGTGACCCCAGACAAATTATTCGTCTTCCAATGTATCCCAGGGAGGCGAAAAGATGGGTCACCCTGACATAGAGCTTAGGTGTAAGTTGGATGAATTCTGACAAACGCATATACCTGTATAACCCACATTTCTATCAAAATATGTAATACTTATTGATGGGTGAGATGATCCTTACCTATTCCTCCTTTTGGAGGGCAGATAGAACACGATGATTGGAGATGCATGAAATGTGATTAACGCCTCTGCGTAATCAGGACTTGCAATACCCTGAGCATGCCTATCTGATTGTTCATGACGATCACTACTTTGAAAAAAAAAATAACATATATATAATTATTTCTATTACCCTAGAAAGTTTCCCTGTGCTCTTTCCAGTCAATCCTCCCCTTCTCACTGCTCTGCCAGAGGCAACTACTGCTCTGATTTCTATCACTGTAGATCAGTCTTGCTTCTTCTAGAATTTCATGCAAGTGGAATTGTAAAGCATGGACTTTTCTGTGTCTGGCTTCTTCCCCTCAGCATAATGTGTTTGAGATTTACCTGTGTTGTTACAGTTGATACGCTCTTCCTTTTTATTGCTTATTGATATCCCATTGTATGAACATAGCACAGTTTGTTTATTCATTCTCCGGTGGGCTGACATTTGGGTTGTCTCTAGTATTTAGCTATTATAAATAATGCTCCAATGAATGCTTTTGTACAAGTCTTTTTGTGAACATATGTTTTTATTTTTTATTTTTTGGCTTAATATCTAAGAATGGTTTGCTGGATTATATGGCAAGCGTACGTTTAACTTTTTTGAGAAACTGCCATACTGTTTCCTAAAGTGATTGTACCATTTAACACTCCCCCTAGTAGTGTAGGAGATTCCAGTTTCTCAGTATCTTGCCAACATATGGCGTTGTAAGTTTTTAAAATCTTAGTCATTCTAGTGGACTGTAGTGGCATCTTGTTGTAATAAGGATTTTCATTTCCTTGATGACTTAGAATGTCAAACGCTTTTTCATGTGCTGTTTGGTCAAATATACCATCATATTGTGGTATATTTGACATAGAGACTTTAAATTTTATGTAGTTGAATTCATTAACCTTTTCTGTTATGAATTTTATTTATTTCATACTGAGAAATCCTTCCTTTTTAGTAGAGATAGGGTCTTTCTATGTTGCCTAGGCTGGTCTCAAACTCCTGGCCTCAAAAGATCCTTCCACCTCAGCGTCCCAAAGTACTGGGATTACAGGCAGAGAAATTCTTCTTAATACCAAAAGCTAGTAAATATTTTTACTTTTATTTCCTTATAGTCCTTTATTGGTTAAACTCTTAAACATTACATTCTTTCATCTACCTATATTTTGTTTTAAATTGTAAGTAAACTATTTGTCCTCAGGAAGTTAACCAACTGGATTGTATATTGAATAATAACTTCTTCCTTTTTTCACCTATTTGATCTGCCACATTTATCTTAAACCAACTTTTAACATATCATTGGATCTATTTCTACGATCCCATTATTGTTGATTTTTTCCACCAACAGTACAGTTTCAATTATTAAGGTTTTAGAGTTTATTTATCATGTAAGCAAGTCTACCTTCATTACTCTTTACTTCTTCAAAAATTTCTTTCTTTGCCATTTCAGCTCATTTACTTGTCTCCTAACTGTGGAGGGCTAAATAATGACCCCTCAAAGATGTCCAGGTCCTCATCTCTGGAACCTATGAATATGTTACTTTACATGAAAAGGGACTTTGCAGATGTGATTAAGATTCTTAAGAATCCTGAGATGGGCAAATTATCTTGAATTATCTGGGAGGGGCTCTATATAATCACAAGGGTTCTTGTAAGAGGGAAGCATGGGCGGCAGAGAGAGAAAACCATAGAAACAAGGATTGGAGTCATGGGGCCACAAGCCAAGGAGTATGAGAAGCTTCTACAAGCCAGAAGAACAGGAAACAGATTACTCCTTGGAGCCTCCAGAAGGCACGAGCCCTGCCAATGCTTTGCTCTTAGCTCCTTAAGACTTATCTTGGACTTCTGATCCCCCTGTAGGAGAATAAATTTGTGTTGTTTTAAGCCACTAACTTTGCAGTTGTTTGTTACAGTAGCAGTAGGAAGCTAACACACTACCTAAAAAATTATTTTTAAAAATGATATTCTAAGAGTTTTCCCGCTGTAATTTTTATTGGAACTGTGTTGAGCAGAAAATTTAATTTGTGAAGAACTCACATTTTTATACTATTCAGTCTTGCTACTGAAATTTCCCCAGAAAGACATCTCCATGTCCCTCTACTTCCGCTCATTGCCTGGGTTTCTCAGAGGTAGACCTCAGGCAAAGGTTTGAGTGCAAGTAGTCTATTTGGAAGGTGATTCCAGGAAACACGTGTAGGAGAGTGAGAAAGTGAGGCAGGGAAGGGAGGGCTGCCAGTAAAGGGAGTGTTATCAGCAAGTGACCATCATGGGTGACTGGTGTTTCCCCTTACCTCACCGGGGAACTCTGGGTACCCATGTAGATCGTGCA